GCGGAACAATTTTTCTTCCCTAGTGCTTAGTTCATACTACTGGCCTATCAGTTTCATGATCTTACTAACACGTTATATATAATGATATAAATGAATATAAATATATGATTAAATGACGATGATACAATAACCATACAGAATAAACTAATGACAGATCTTACCAGATAGTATATGTCAGTCACACACAGTTATCTTATCACTTTCATCTTGTCAATCATGTTATTGCGGTATCCTACATGTCATCATATTGTCCTATCGCTATCATTTTTTCATATGTAGTACGGTCATATTATATATCAAGCGGTAACAGGGGGTGATGATGATGATAAGACGACAACGGTAAGACATGAATTATGGAATAACATTATAACAGGAATGAAAAAACACAAAGATAAGATACTATGCGTGACAGACATCTTACCATCACTGTGCCGTATTATCTATTATCATATTCCATCTGCATACATATATCTTACCATTATGATTCTATTGTATTATGTATAAGGAAGAAAGAGAATCACCATACCAACAAGAGGATAGTAAGATATGACATACAAAATATGATGCATGTCATAAATGATGATAAGATATATGGAAACTAAATATTATTTCTCATTATGATTTTATCACATATTGCTGTTACGATATGCGTCGTCTATTGCTACTAATACCCGATCGAGTCATTATCATCATCGTGTTGCCACCTTACGCATATGACGGTAACAGAAATGAGAAAATAAGACTCATGCTATAATGTATATGATAACATGAGAACAGATTTTACAAGATGACGAAAAAGATATATCTGTTATACAATCATATATTATTGTTGTAATCTAGTTCTACGCAGTATCATGTCATCCTACATATCATATCTTATCACGATCTGCCAGATCTATTACCATCATGCTTTACAAATGGTAACAATAAGATCACGATGCAGATCAGGTGATAATTGTAAGGTTTAACTGCCATAAACAGTATCTTGTCATTATCATTTAATCATATCTGCAACAATGTCGTTCGTATACGTCATATGCCAGCATTACTGGCACATCAATATAATCGTTACATTCTATGTAATATGGGAGCAACAGATATAACCTGATGATAATAAAAACACGTTATGACGGAGAGAGCGTTTCATTATCATTTCATAACACCTACTATGGCATGAATTGCATGAAATCGCCACAATTACCGTACCAGCTGTGAAACTGGTAAAACGATGAAACAGAGGCATTAATACTCCAGTGAAACTTAAATTTAAACCAATACGCTTCGTCTTCTGGATACAAATAAAAGTCTCATCACGCCACTGCCTTTACGGCTGGAGATCATTCAAGCGAACTGCGACTCTACTTTCGGTAAGTCATCTATTTCACTTAGTATTAACTCACTCACTCACTGGAAGAAGGAAAACAGCACAGTTAGCCGGTGGGGTTTTCGATGTTTGTTCTACCTAAAGTTACACGGTCCCAGGTGGGAACCGAACTGAACACTGGCTCTGTGCTGCAAAACGCCGAGTTAGTCGATAAGCTGAGTACTTGATGTCTTCCGCCTTCCGGAGTCTGCTTCTGTCTATCCTATGCCGCCGTTGCCATCACAGAGTTGCTTGCTTGCATGAGATGGCAAGGCAAAGCTCTGTGTGTCGTCAATCAACGTGAGTAACTTCTTTCTCTGAGAGAACAACGAACAGGCTGCAAAAAAGTACGTTTCGTCGGACTCGTTATTTACGAAGTGTCTCAAAATGACGGCGTCGATGCGCGGCGCTAGGCAATGCAATTCCGGGCGCTGCTGACAGCAGTCAACGAACGACAGATGCATCGACAACCGGACACCATTTCGTCCTAATAGTGCAACGACTTTTGCCTACGCTTAAAAGTACATCTACCTTACCCCCTTCGAGGATATAGAAGCTTCGACGTTCGCAGTTGCTCGTCAAACTCCCCGCTCAGTTTACTGCAATTTTAACCTCATCCTAAAAACAACCGGCCCCTGCTTCTTAAGCCAAAGAGAGGACATGACCGTGGTGAAATCACAGTTGTTCGTTCGGTTTGGAACACACCATTTGTCGGACATCGAGAACAACTGGTAGTAACATTCTCCCAGGCATCGACTTCTGAGAGTTTCAATGATGCACATGCTCTCAGGCACCTTCACTTAGTCGACAAAGGGTTGGAGTCCAACGTCCGTCGCGTTGCAACAGCAACATTGCTCTCTAAAGATTCGTCTAGTCGCACGGCATGGCCGTTTTCCAAAATTTCTAAAGCGAGCTACTTTGTCTTTTC